TTTACAGCCATAGGTACTTTTAATATACAATAAAAATTACAATTTCAACACATCAAAGGAGGTAGAAAGAAATGAATATTTCGCAGAAACAAGAATAACAACACAGTTTAGATTTTTTAAATTAAATTTTTCAAACATTTGGAAACCGAATCATATGAAAATATGGAGTATAAACATTATAGATCACAATAAAAATATTACGGTATCAATTTAGCATATCAGAATATACATTTTCTGCACAAATATGAAATAAAAAATATTTTTATTCAAAGTGTCCAGAATTAATTCCACCATTGTACGAGTCTTTCCATCTTCGCGTAGATGGAATGTTAAAGTTAACAGTCAGGTTTACGGGGTCGATTAAGCGGGATCAACGATTCTGAATCCGCGAAACTCAGCCTGGCTGGAGACTAATGTTCAACAAGTGTTGCATGCATAGCTTGGAAACCATACGTTACAATGGTTTGTGTGTGTCCATTAGTATCCGTACATCTGTTCTCTGTTGAATGGAGGGCGTACCAGCTGGGAAATGGTAGCCGACGATATTAAGTACATTATTTTAGGTACCGTTTCTCTTACTTGTTATGCCGGATCCGTGCGACCGACACCCAAGCCCGTCGTTGCATTTGCTATGCGCGTCCGGACGCTGATGGTCAGCCACGTTAAATCTGTGAAATTCTCGTTCCCCACGGCTCGGTGAATAACGTTCAACAAGTACTACACAGACCACGGGAATATCGCTAGGCTAACCGAAGCGAATGTAATTTCAGGTTAACGCCGTTCCACCACCGTCAGCGATTGAACGTTTTAAAACCAGTCGAAAAATTCAATTCTAACGTTTAACGCGTTTATTCCCGGACGGTTGGAATTTTATTATTTTCAATGGATACCTTCCACGAATCTTACCCACGAGAAATTTCCGAATATTTCCGGATGGTTGATGTACGCGGCTGCAAGTCGAACGATTATTTCGCAACGGCGAGCGCGGTTCACTTTTACCGTGAAACCGGCAGTTCGAACGGCGGGAACGTTTATTTAATTCAATGTCAGTTTTTGCAACAGCTCGTCGTTTCGTGCTTTATCGCTCGATCTATATGCAATTAACCGACGAACGTTTCCCGACTCGTTTCTCTCGGAACAGATTAAGTACCTTCGTTATTCCAATTAATAGGAATTAGCAAGGTGGATAATAGAAATTTTCGTATAACAGCACTTTCGTTTTTCGTACGTTAATTAGAATCAAAATTTCTTGGATAATTTTCATTTATTATTCTATACTTTTTGAATAGATCAATTTTATCCAAGATCTAACGATCGATGAATAATCGATGTCGAAGATGGAGGGTTAGTCGAGAGTTTGTCGCGTGTCACAAGGTCGTAATACCGAGCCGACGGTTTTGCAATTTGCGTTAAGCATCGAGGCGAACAGGCGTAACGGCGGTTAGCGTTTAGCGAGCTTTATGTCCCTGCACCGTTATCGTCGAATCGATCCGGCGTCGCAACGCGAGACGACGCGACGCGACGGACTCTAGGGGCGCCATTTGGCTAAGGCTATCCACAGGTGAGCTACCCTCGGCTCCCGAGGTGATTTTAGAAACACGAACGGTCCTAACGATTTCCTTCGACCTCGCTTCTAAAGCGGCGAACCGCTGCTCGTAAATTTACCGATGCATTAACCCTTTAGCCACGCTATCAATCGACTAGAAAATTCATCATTCGTCTATGATAGAAATGAAGCAAAACAAAAAAAAATTGATTTTCAGACACTGCAAAATTACATCTTTACACTCGTTAATTAACACTCGACGAAACCTTGATTTAGCAGATAAAAATATCAAAGTTATTCTTGATGGCTGCGCGAGAATACCGATTGTTCCTTTAGAATGAAACTCCTATTCTTTCCATGAGATGCTAAATTGGTCGCGGATGAATCCGTTCGTTTTCAATTACACCGACCGCGATCGCGCTTTGATTTATCCCGATTTCATTAAATTCTAATGGGCCACGGCACGTGAGACGAGCGTTTTATCGCCCCGTACATCCGCGAGAGCATCCTTATATCTATCATGAAGACAAAGTACAGATATCAGGAATGCACGGCAACGTGCACCGGCATACGGTAGCACGGCTGGCCATTAATAATTCATAGCGGTGCGAATAGGAAGGGGTTAGGCTTTGGGGAATTATAAATATTTAGATCGTTCCGGAGATCGCCGCGCCGCGGAGAAACGCTTGAATCGCCGTTTTCTGTTCTTTCTTCCCTTCCTTATTTTCCTTTTTCCATTGCTTCTTCTCGGTTTTTCTTTTATTTTCCTTTTTGCTTTTGTCTCCTCCGGCGATAAACCATGCCACGTTCTACCATCATCGTGCGTGCATTTCTACTCGTTCTTGTCTTCCGCACAGAGATTGGGCAAAGTAATCAGATCCGCGTTTCTAAAACTGATACGCGAATCGAAACGAGGGTAATGATAGGTTCGCGTTGAGACAGCTTAAATATAATAAACGGCAAATGAGTTAATAAGCAAAGGGAAACAGTAATTACAGCGTGAAGTTGTAACTAGCATTGCTACAAATTTAACCAGCATCCGTAACAAAAACCTTGATAAACGAAGCGTGAAGAAACAAAAGAAAGAAACTAAAGCAAACGAATGGTGATAGCGCTATAACGTGACCTGGCAATAAAATTAAGAAAGTTTCGAAGGATCGATCTGGTATTAAGCGAGGTTTCTAAGATGCGTTCTACTTTGGAACAAAGTGAAATTGCGTAAATCTTCGCGGCGTTGAAAGGGTAATAAAAAGCTTCGAGTGGAAAGAATTCGATCCCACGCACCGAAACGCGCGTTTTCCCCTTGCGTAAAAACACGGAAAACGCCTGTGGCGGATCGTTCCTCGGTGTATGTAAGTACACAGGCTGCTGATTCTGTGTCCCGTTGAAATTTCCGTCCGTGCACAATGCTCATTTTTTTCTCCCTTCTTCCTTCTTCTTGTTCCCTCTCTTGTTCTTTCCAAGAACAAGCCGCTCGCAACGAGGCCTTTTTTCGCAAAAGCATCGATCGCGAGGCTCGATACGAGAAACAAGAGACCTGGTTCATCCTTCACGCGGTTCTGCTTTTTAATATTCCTCTCGCTGGGTCAGTGCCCTTTTTTCAAAAAAAAAGAAAGAAAAAAAAGAAAAAAAAATTTTATATTATCATAAGCAGAATTGTACTTTTATTAGAAAAACGTCCTGAAGTGGTAATAGCGATAACGGATACGGTATCGATACAAATATCCGTTGATGACGAATAGGTTTTCCCTTTTGATAAAACACTTATATTGTATATTATAAATAAGAAATCGAGGTGGGTTTTTCCTGGCAGACGCACCCCTTTTTATCCTCTCGAAGATAGCAGTTGGCTCGGTCTCCCCTTTCTCGATAAGTTGCGGCAGCGTTCACGCGACCTTTCTTATTTCCTGACCCCGCCAGCCTTGACCTAGGCCTTCTCCCGTGGGGGTCGATCAATCAATGGGAAGACTGCCGCAGACTGACATCGACTAATTGTGTAAACGGTCCGATATAATGGCTCGTTCGTATTTCCAGACGAACGGCCAACAGGGCACGATCGATGAACATTTTCTTTTTCAATCTAGAATCATACCAATTATAAGGATCAAAGCAGAAAATGAATGCAACGGTGATTAAGTTACGGGGCGAAGTTCGGAAGGTCTTCTTCTTTGGCTTGGCTTTCTATTGTTCCCGTTGCGTAATGTTCGATCGACGATAATAATCAGCGTTCGGAAAAGTGCTTCTCTATTAGCTTTCGGTTACATTGTCGACGACGTTACGTTTTGCTTCGGATGGATACATATTAAGCTGGTCGATCCCTATCAAGCGGAGCAAATTGAAATTCCAATAAGCCCGCCAGGAAATCGATAACAGACAGCGTTATTCTTCGCTAATTCAGAATGGAACTGTCTAATTTTCATCCCTTTAATTATTTCTGTTATTTGTCTTTGCAAATATCATTAAATCTATTTTCACAAAGGATAAGTTTCCGAATGACCCCACCAAAATTGAGAACTCAGGTACGATATATAACCTAAATTGACTACCAGAAACCGATTGAAATTGGTTTTAGAGCTGGATGTCTTACCGTTTTTGAGATATCGGAGTAAGAAATTTTTGTACAATTTTGGGACTACCTATGCGCTATTCGATACTGAGCATGCGCTATTCAATACTGCGCATGCGCTATTCGATACTGCGCATACACAGAACCCAACCTAATCTAACCCAACCTTACCACGATATCTCGAAAACGGTAAGACATCCAGCTCAGAAACAAACTTTAATCGGTTTCTTGTAGTCAATTTAGGGTATATATCGAACCTGAGTTCTCAATTTTGGTGGGGCCATTCGGAAACACAGCCCAATATACATATAGTCTTAAGTTATTTTTAAGTTATTCGGCCCTGTATACAGGTAATACTTCACCTCTGCGGGATTACAGTCATGTTACTAAATGATTTGTATTATGTCTGGATCAAATAATAATAATAATAAATGGAAAGTGATCATTTTTGTGGGGGAAAAGTAGCATCGCGTTGGCAGCTCGTTACTCGGGGAAGAATATTCATCGGTATACATTGCATGTTGAATGTTTATATTTTGTGATAGCAAGTGTTCCGTTTGTGAAACGTGCGATTATTTTATCAATCCGGAAGTGATAATACGTGTACAAGCATCAGCGGTTCGACGATTGCAGTATTGCATCAGTGCAAACGTTTATTCTTTTATTCACACATCGAACGACCTTGTATTGTGACTGGTTGAAAACGTCCAAACACGCGTTATTCTTCTAGAAATGGAAAAAGAATAATATACCGTTTTAAGAAAACATAGTTGATCTTGACAATTTTTTACGCTTGTCTTTAAAAGCAATCTACATACATACGTAATTACGTAATTAACGGCATTTTTGGAATCTAATTGATCGTTGTTTCCTTTTCTTTCGTTTCAGACATTCACATGGATTAACGGGAAGATCGTTGTAACCCGAGGAAATCAAAGGCCAGCGAGAAGTGACGTGTAACGATGTAAAGAACAATGTAATCCGTTGCCATAACTGCAACAAACCGAGAAACAAGAAACGCGGCGAACAGTGCGCGACGTGAAAGAAGCAGCAGAGAAACGGGGATCGAACGGAAGGATAATCGGAGAAGGAAAAGTGGTACGATCGATCGGTTCCTTAAAAAAGTGTCCGATCGATCGTTTCCTTTCAAAGGTGCGCTACCTACGATCGTCTCTCTTCCTGTCTTTCTTTTTCCTTCTTTCCCGTGAAACGAGCCTCCTTCACGGTGCTAGACAGTCGACACCGCCTACTTTCTATCCCCCTGCAACCACTACCGTAGTTGCACCGCCAGTAAAATCCTCGGGAAACGAGTTTTACGGCCGATTCTCGCTGCGAAACGCGACGAAACGACCGTAATTACCCTGGGTTCTTCTACCGTGGCCCTTCGAATATCTTTCCAATTTTATCCCCCCGTCCTCTTTCCCTCGTTCAAGCTAGAACCGATTCGTGATCGGTGTCGATCTAACCTGAATGTCGTTGTAAGAATCTCCTCTCGCTTTTATTTTCCAGTTTTGTCCTAGTCTCGACGAGATTAACGAGAAAAAGGATCCCAGAGAGGTGACTCAACTTGTATCATAAGTATCATAGATTCTATTAAATTACACTGTTTTGAATCGCGATCGCAATCGCGTGGAGAAGCTGGTGTCGGTCGGCGAGGGAAAAGAATTGAAGTGGACAGAAGCGGATACGTAGGAGGAAAATCGAGGGGAGAAAAGGGAAAAAAAGAGTATAAGACGAGATGTACAGAGATCCGAATAGTTCGACGGGAAGCGGCGCCTCGACAAAGGGCGACGAGGTGGAGATCGTTAGCAGATTTTTAGCGCCTTTGTGCGCGAGGGATGAAACTGCCAGGAACATCGCCCTGGCGGCGGCCAGGAACACGGTCGAGGGGTGGCTCGGTGGTGTTGGAAGCCCGAATCACTGGGACGACACCGGTGAGATGGAGGACGCCGAGAACGTCGGGGGAAAGTTCAAGAGCCAAGATGGAAGGTGAGTGCCGGCTACGGTGTACGCGTCTTCTATCGATAAAACGACGCGTGTCGATATCGAGAAGGTTTCGTCTCGAGAATATTTTTCTTTTCTGCGCTCGGTTGTAACGTAGGTTTCTCTTGGGTGAGTGTACAGCCTGGAACCACTATTGGTTTTTAGTTTTAGTCTGGACAGAGCCTAACGGAGAACCTCTTGTCCTTGCATGCAGAGAACATGGAGAAATAAAAGCTAATGTCGAGACACGTTTCCCCTGTACTTCTTATTAATTAACAATAAAAGAAGCCTAATAATTGCTAGTTGCTAGCGCTGTACACGCAACCGTACACTGCCGCTCAGAAGTTCCAGGTCACCGTCTTGCGCTTCGTTTTATCGCAAATTGTGTTTTTTTTTTATTCTTTACAAACCGCTCGACCTTTCCGTTGGACGTTCGTTTCTTAGACCGTCGTGGAATGCTGGGTATGATCTTGTAATCCTCGTAAGCAGCTGGTGAAACGAGCTCGGTACGTGTAATAAAACGAAAAGGAGATTACGAGAAGAAGCATTAAAGACAGACGTTGTACCATTGCCAGTTTGTTTTGGTATCATTAATTTCTGTAAGATACTTACTCGCAACGAGTTTGCCTGACGATCCGGCAAAACCTACGACCGCTGCGTCGACGACAGCGTACGAATCGCGTTTTAATCAAAGAAAAGATTGATGTACGTCGAACCGGTCGCTTCGCGGATAGATGCAATACTTTAGACTCGTTGATATAATGATCCTTCGGTACTCATTAAACGGTCAGAGAAACTTAGCGCGTGTTCCATTCACTTCCGCGTTTTGCAATTTTTCCCTTGCGCCTACTCTTTAATAAACATCAACTTGTTCTCTTTCCACGAGAAGATACGACATGAGCATCGAGCGATCGCCGAGCAAGTCAGCGCCGAAAAACGTGCAGGCAGTTGGTCATCAGCAACAGCTGGTCCAGGACACCTTCAGAACGGAGGGTTTCTTCCCACAGAGCGTCACCGAGATCCCTGCCTTCCTGGAGGACAACAGTTTGGAGTGTTCCGAGAGATATCCTTCGGGTTCGTTCGACTGTGTCGATGGACGTCTGGTGAACGATACTGGCTACGGAACACCGAACGAGAGGAGACGATACGGGGCTGACGTGGACAGCTACAGGTCCAGTCATTCGACCTCGTCCGACGAGGGGAAGGGCTTCAAGATAGACACGCAGGATCGATGTCTCAGGTTTAAGGATAATTCGGAGACGCGTTTCGGCTCGAGCAACGAGAGCGAGAAGAAGTACCTTGGCTCATCGTCGAACGAAAGATTGAACGAGGTGTGCCTCGAGGATAGGCCGAGAACGAAAAACTACGTGAAGGTGAAAGGTGCCAAGCAGAAACAGCTGGAGGACGACGAGTTGGATTCGGACACCAGGATCTATGGGAAGAGTCCAAAGTTCGACGAGAATTTGGGCGCGAACTTCGATCGTAGAAATTTGAATTATCGTTCGAAAGGGGATATCCTGACGAGAGATCGTCTGTGCTACGACAACGTGGACGACATATCCTTCGACGAGGCAGAGATCAGCATCAGGAACCGAGGTGACGGGGTGGTGTTCAACACTTTGGACGGTTTTGAAAATGAAAACGCGAACGAGATTTATCATAGGCAGGAAGATAATCGTGCGGAGGATATACAGGTGAAAAATTTCGAGATTTACACTGACGAATCGTTGGAGGAACGTCAGCGATGCGCTCGTCCTGAACAGCCGCAAGATTATCTTCGCAAGAACGAGGAGAGGAAGTTCAGCGCTGGACAGATCAAGAGACCACTCTCGCAGGACGAAGATGTCTCTTCGAAGAGTGGCAGGGTACTGGAGAGTCCTGACGTCACTCCTGGCGACGTCGGCAGGATGCTTAATCTGGGAAACGCTCTGGATGGTCCGAGGCAAGCGCAGGCGAACAAGTATCTCAGCCTGGTCACGTTGCATCTGCCGGTGATATTGAGACTCAGCGTCAACTGCCCTTTCCAGAATGTTAGAATCAAGTGTGCGGAGATCCTGGAGATGGTTAAGGTAAGCGCCATGCTCAATTTTTAATTATTTCATTTTCTATCATTGCTATGTCACATAAACTGTAATTATTGGCAGAGTTTTCCTAAAATTAGGAAAAAGTAACGAACGCAGAAGTTTACGATTACTCGAATACTCGGGATGGTTTTTCATCCTCTGAATCATTTATTTTATGAACACCCATCCGAACATCTCGCTTTGTAACCATTTAGAAACAGTAAACGCTCCGTAGAGCAATTTTATGTTTTCGAAGTGTTCCTCGTAAATAAACGGCCGGTCGTGGTCGTTCAATTTCGAGAAAAGGCTATTTTTATTTCTTTGAAACATCGAGAATAATATTCTTGGTTCGCGCAAAACTTCTCTTTCAACAATACCTTCGTGCATCAGGCTTTCGAAAAGAAGGAGCAACGATTAACAGTAATGGACTTGTTTAAACACTCTATTTATGGAGCAGCTTCGAAACGTACCCTAAAAATACGTCAGCCCATTTTAACTTCATCGTTGCACCATGCCAGACATGCTTAAAACGATTATAAAGCAGCCGATAAGTTTAATAATTATTCCGCCAGATTGTTAACACTTTGACGGCCACTGTCACGTATTTGTGATTATGTACTATGCTTTTTCTTTTTCCTTACCATTATCTACTTCACCAGATAGATACTAACTGTAATACAAAAATTGGTAATTTAAAGATTAATGATTTTCTGCTAGGTATAACAAAAATGAAAATTGCAAGAGTCATAAATTTCACAAAATGTGCTCTTGTCAGTATTAAAAATTATCTTGCAATATATTTAAGATAATAAGAAAAAAAGTTAAATAGTTTGCAATAAATAATAAAAATAGCGGTTATGTTTTTAGAAGTTGTTTTTACAATCAATAACAGCAAGCGTACTATGTAAAGACTGATCGATAGTTCTGCATGACACATATAAAAATACATAATAATAGCAAAACACAAATTTATGCTAGGTTGACGTGACATTTCATTCAGATACAAGAACATAGTATATTCCTGTTTTTTTTTTTTGTTTAATGTAAATTTTATACTAATGTTGTTTATTGAAATAGGAACAGTAATTTATATATCTGGAATTTTATAAATGGGTAAGAAAAAAAATTCGCCCAACGTGGGGCTCGAACCCACGACCCTGAGATTAAGAGTCTCATGCTCTACCGACTGAGCTAGCCGGGCATGTGAACTATCCGGCTTCCTTTGCCATATTACAATAATTTGCCAGAAATAAAGTAGCAACATAAATTTTTTTACAGGATAGAGGACTTCCAGTGCCAGTACCAGCTTTCGATGGACCTAGTGCCTTCGTTCCTACATCAGAGGTAAGTACTTTTTACAACACGTCTTTTGTATCATTTTATCTATGCAATACAATTATTGTTACAATGTTGCAATACAGTCTTTGAAACTATTATATAGTACATAATTGATAAGAAGCTACGTGATAGGTGTCAGATGTATGAAATATTCTATATACGAAGTTACGTTGATTTAAAAGTAAGGTCTGGAGGATAATTAATGGAAGATTTCTTACAGTTTGAAAATTGTTCATTGGCAATTTTATTAGGCGAAATATTAGGGTAAGAAAAACAGAGCGATTATATCCAGTTTAATCTAGGGCATCGAATTGGCGTTCCTAGCGTCGATAAGTTTTGCCTTATGATTGGTGGTCGTCGGTAAAAGCGAGTCTCAGGATTGGTTAACAGGAGTACTGTACTATGGATTGGTTCACATTTACTTGTCCCCTGGTAACCTTCAATTTACTCTAATTAAGAACAATTAGGTTCTCTCGTCGTTCAAACTACTCTTTGCAATATATAAGTTAAAGATACCTATATTATCGACCGAGTTATCAGGACAGAAGTATTGCATTATGTTTCCTCATATCTTTTTCAGAATACTTTAACAAAAATATTGCAATATGAGTAATAAAGTTTATATTGACTTTGTTTAAAATTATTCAGTTGTTTTTAACGAACGTGAACAGATGGCGTTGTATGTAAAAGTCAATACCACGTAAATTATGCAAATTTAATTTAGCTGACTGGGAAGTACATTTCTGGCACAGTTTATTGCATTTAAAGTGTGTTATAAAATTTTAAATACAATTTTGCACATTTTTCAACGACGAGATTTTTATATTTCATACATCTGATACAGCATAAATTCGTTATGCATATGAAATATTATGCTGCTTCTCACGATTTGATTTTGTTTGTTAATTGACTTTGTCTCGTTTAATTCAGCATTTGCATTGAATGCTGTTTGATGTCGCGTTTTAAATCCTTCTTCCTCATGAAATTCAGCACGAAGTGACTTTTTTTACTTCGGGCTCGTCGAATTTTTTTGTTATCTGTATTTTGTGTGGTTCCACTGAAGAAATAAAACAAAAGGTAAGTAAGAAATAAGGTATCTTATTAATGTTGGATATTATGTACACACACACGCACAACAGCCTTGCTGAAACGTTTTCAGTCTACGTGAAAAGTTTCTCACAATAACTCGATCAAATTCCTCAACAACAACAATTATTACTAAACCAAGTTGCTAAAGTAATATTAATTACTAAACTTTCTTTTGTTGGCAATGTTATTCATTCGCTCGTTCGAAATAATATACGTGTATCCTTTGATCCCTGATACTTCTGTTTTAAATTATTCATACGTGATATCTGAAACTGTTTAACGACACAACAGGAAATTTTTATATTTCCTGGTTACGACAAATGTCACGCGGTAAGATTATAATATGGAAATGCGTCGACAGACGCTTAATTCCAAGAATTATTTAACTGTCTAACTTAACGTAATCTATACCTAAAGCAGGATTGAACAGCTTTCAAGTTCCATGGTATTTTTCTTTAAAATCCGAAGCAGCTGTGGTTCGATCCAATACCATTGAAAGTATTAAACGTCAATCAGGAAATCCTCAAACGCGTATCTTCTTTCTTTGATCGGTACCAATCCTTCAATTCATGAAATGTCTCGTTCGACGGGGTTTCTAGAGAGGAAAAATCCATAAGATTTTGCGCGAATTCCGAGGTTCAGACTCGTCCAATCGCAGGTGCACTTGGTGGTGGTGAAATTCAGCTGGCGATGCATCGAGCCAAGTTCAAACTGCCCTGAATTTCTAACATGGCACGCAATTTTAGCGGTGTCTTGGAGAGATGCCCAAAGTTTGTCGCGAGAAAGAGCGAGGGGAGAGACGACGATAAAAGTTGACGAGTAATCCTGGTCAGGTCAGTGTGAATCGCAGCCTCGGTCCAGCGACCGCAAGTGGCTGCAAGTGTCTCGTATACAAGCTCCATTAACGATCTAATTGAATCCCTTTCTTGTCGTTTTCTTTTCTTCTACGACCACAATCATCTTTGCCCTCGAATCCTCGTTCAGTGGGTGCTCACTATAGGTGTTTCTTCCTTCCGTTTCTCTTCCTCTTCTAGAAATAGTATCACCCGAACCGTACCTCGAGAATCGTCGAATCTGTAATTGCATTAACGCGCTCTTTGACGAGATCTCGGGGTCAGAAGTAAACGATAAACGGTCATTGGCTTCTTTTCTACTGGCAAAGAAGCAAACTCGCACGGACCGTATGATACGCATTTAACGCGTTTTCAAAATTAATTTTTCTAACAGAAACAATTAAGATTGAGGCTAATTACACCGAGAAGGATGGCAACCCAATTTCATGCGAAATGGAAGCATCGGTAGATTTACGGGATACGTCTGTCCGAAAAGAAACGTATAAAACAGGGAACAGAGTAGGGACAGCGAGATTTCTCATGTAAATCCTCTGTCAGCCGTGTAGTCTACGCTCGGATTGTAAGCCTTCGCGTAAATAACTAGCCGCTGGCTCTTCTCGAATACTTATGGGAATATTAGCCTAGAAATTCTTTTACAGCCGAGAAAAATTGAAATAGGGTTACTTTATTTCCAGTCCGTCTTCTAAGCAAAACCTGCTTGAAATTTGTTCGAATCTGAAAAAACACGAATAGCGAGAAAGTCGTTAACGTTCTTTAACTGTTGAAAATTTATTGTTTTATTTTTCTGGACAGTATTGGTGGTTTTCGGAGAGAAAACAAATATTTTCTTTTTTATTTATTTTCGTACCGAACCGATGGCCACCGAAAAAACATTCTTCATTGCTTATTGTGCTCCGATCGTTTCCTTGATAATACGATACGAACTACAATATCAGCCACGGCAATAAACGAACTCGATATCCGTGTAGCCTCGCGATAAGGAATTTTTCATTTAGCTACCACACATATTTCCTCTGTATCGATGTAACCTCCGGTAAGGTTATCTTCATCGTTTATTACATAATCCTCGCGTGACGAAAAAAAAGAAGGAGGATTACGAGTAACGAGATATTGTTTCCAGGTGGGCGAACAGGTGTGCAATTACGATACGTATGATTGAGTGAAGAAGGGGCAGACAGTGAAAAGTTGTAATAAGAAAATGGAATAAAGAGGGAGGGAATGGAAATGAGGAAGGGTCGAAGAGAAATTGAGAGATCTTTCAACCTCGGAGGGTCAGGGGAAAATATGATCAGCAGGGATCTTGATATACTTCCGTGTTTAAATGAACCATGTAATCGTGAACAAATTCGATCATTTGTTCTGACAAATTCATCATATTTCTATTTTGTAATATTCAAAAAGTTCTTTAATTACGAATCTGTGGTAATTGACATTGAATTATACTGTGAAAAATTGCAGCTGATAAATGAGGAATTAGTAAATTACAGATTTATCAGGATTTGCACTGTGTAGATAATTATGCTTAATACAATCAGACATTAATTATTGAGGATTAATTACTTAATCCAGCGCTTAAATTTATTGACTCAAATTAATCGAGCAATTCTAGTCATATTCTAAGCTTTATTTGAGAGTTTTCTTCATGACCATTCATTTCCAATATTATTTTTCAAGAATTTTTAAGGATGTTCTAGATGAGAAAAATATTTCCGTTTTCCTAAAATTCTCTGGTTTCGTTCGAGGTTATCGTTACACTGGTTCGTGAGAAATATGTTTCCAAGCCAATGGTCGTTATAGTTGACATGATTCTTCCATTGCACGCGCATTAGTACCTTCCTAATCTGTAACAAGATAGCGGACAGGTCTTACGAACTATCAGCTTGACGTACCTCGAGTTAATTGCGATCTGCGGTCACGGCAAGGGCTATTTACACCGCAATCGCGATTGCATCATTTCTTCGTCGATTTTCATCAACGAATTATTTGCGGTTCCGTTGGGAATCGTCGAAGGATAAACCCGAAAGCTTTATACAATATTCTCCTTTTTATTTGTCGATGGAACGGAATAATTCGTTTCGCCGTTTCGTTCGAATGGACCTCACGTTCTTCCAATTTTTAGGTTCAATCGTATTTGTGATTGTTATGGAAACAACCCAGGAATCCAGGTTAGTGGATTCAACCATCGTTTGACACGATTGCTAAAGTTCTCCATAACTGGAGTAGTTTGTCGAGTTCTCGACTTACCTTATGAAAAAACTTCTACTTTTTATGGGCTACGCGAAACAGAGCCTGAATATGTTTTGACTGGATGGTTTTGACAAGCAATTTTATTTCGTACACGAGGAACTATACGCGCAGAGATAAGTTAACGATAAACCATCTATCTGTGTCATTCAGAAAATTCTGAATCGATGTTGATTAGCGGCGTATATTAATAAAGATAATTTTAGTTGCATCATATCATGAATCTTAAATAACGGAATGTTTTAAGATTTAGCAGTCATACGATTAGACACAAATCCATGTATAAGATAATGTATCGTTGGCTATCAATTTCAATTATTTTGTGTGTTATAGCGTATCATAATAATAATTCAAAACACCTCTCTTCATATTGTAATTCAAATTTTCAATTTTCAAAGCTTTCATATTTCAAATTTCCTTTCTCATTTTCTATTTTCACGTCTTCATTCTTCTAATATTCGTTGAAAATGATCTTATATCTTGTATCGGTTACCATTTGCAACGTGGACTAGCTTGAAACTAGTTTTTCGGTCCCGTTAACATTCTTTTCATTTTATCCGAAGCGGAGTCTGTTGCCGCGAAAGTCTCGAACGAAATCGACCATCTGCTCGTTGTCCCCGTGGACCAATCGGCTTTCGGCTCTCGGCGGAAAGGACCAATGAGGAGCGCGGTATAGTCGTGAGCAACCGGTAGTAGGGTCTGTTGCGCGTACTCTTCCCTTGGCGTGGCTCTAGTCTCCCGCCTCCCGGCGCGACATCGCTCTTCGCGGGTGTTCATTCGCGCGTCAGACGTGGTTGAGGTAGGACGCGCGCTGTTCGTGCTCCTTCGACACGCATCGTCTCTCTGTACAAATTCTTTTTCGTTCTTCCTACTTCATTGTGACAACGTGTACGTTTCACGTGCACGATTGCCTGCTTCCGCTTCCGGTCTTCATACCGGTTTCCCCCACGGAGACGAGGCTCGCGTGCACTGTCTCGCGTGTGTTCATCTCTATCTCTGCTTCACATTCAAGGTACGTACCAGGGAACTCGTGTGATATCAGTGTTTTTATTAACACATTAAATATAATATAATTGACAGGCAACAAATATTCTCCGTAATTATTTAAGCAAGTTAGCAAAAGATAAAAATAAAATGCAAATTAGAGGTCCGCAGTCCGCATTAAGCTGTGTACGAGCTGGCACACATAAAACCGGTCTCAATCGTGAAACACAAATAAATAATCAGTATTTCTATCTTTCGAAGCTGTAACTTTAACAATTTATGTATTAGTATTTTTATTACCTTCCCAGTAAATATGTACAAGTTTTGAACTCCCAGTCTCATGTTATATTAAGGATAGAAATATGCCGTCCATATTCGTCGCTTCGTAATTCTCAAGTGTATCCATTTTAACAGTGTTTACAATTGTTTTAGCGTTACTAAGCAACGTATCGCGTATGCCACGCTTACACTTAATCATAGATGAATCTGCACGATCATATGTCAAGCATTTTATTTATTTATAAAAATTCTATTTGCATAGCTTTGTTGCGATAACAGACGCGAATCATGTTGACAATACGTTAGTAATAAGTTTATCTTTGTTCAGTTGATTACCGAACGTCGAGTACTCGAAGCTATGCAGAAAATTCGATCGTGAGAGAATCGAAAGTAACGCCGCACGCGATCGTAACACGCGTTGCCGCATTTGGCATTTATTTTTCTGGGTCAAACTCCCGACCTTGCTCGTTTCCGACGACTATGACAAACGTCAATGCTCCGCAGCATTACGAATGTTATGAATTCGAAAATAGGGTACATACGTGTGAACCAATTGTCACTGGTTAATCTTAGTGGTTGAATTTGATTAAAATTAATCTCACGGGTCATTGAATAAAGGATTGGAGGCAGTAATACAGAATGACGCTTTAAATCCTTTTCAGTTCATATTGTAATTTGGGATCGATTTTCTATATCATACCTAACGTCATCGTGACTTACCATGTTTACTTTCTTTACCTTATTACGTTACATATAGTCGTCGAACGAGTCCCCTAATTTGCGATACCAATATCCAGAATACAGATCATACGAGTTTCGCACGCACGCATACACGACGAACGTATTTCTTTGCAAGTCGAATTGATCGGAAACGCGAGGACGATCGGGAAGATTCCTCGTGACGCATGTACCGCAAATTTTCCGATAATGGGAACAAAGAGTGAATGGGAGAAACGTTTCATCCTCGTGCTGTTACAAGCGTGTCTGGTTGCTAGCTATTCAGACCAAGACGTAGAACTCATTACAAATTTGCTCGTATTCATTTCACTTCGTTCCCATTCACCCGCACCATCGTTCATAACCGTTCGAATCATTTTCTCTCGTTATAAAAGATTTTATAGTGATTCTATTGTTAATTAACGGTTTCTTTATTGCATGGGTTATTGGCGCGCTCACGGTGTTTATTAAGGGTGCAGATTTAATTAAGCCGGAAAAGGTAGCTGAAATAAAATTGAGTAGAAGTGAAATGAAAGTTTGGCGAATGCGGTATATAATCACAATGTTATATAATTAAAAACAGTATCATTTTTTCATCTGGTATTAAAATAATAACAAAAATGTTGAACTTTAATTGCAATAAGATATGATTAAAATTATTGTATAATATCGACATGTATGTTACCTTTGGTAATTTCGGCCTCTAATTAATGGATCAATCAATATTAAACTATCACTCGAGTATTCTATGTATCATATTCCCAAATTATTTTTAGGTATCCTATTGATCGCACAAAATTTTCCAAGTATTCTAGTAGTTTTACAGAACAGTATACATAGATAGATTTTCTAACGCAAACATTTCTCACGAACATTAATCAACGATTTCGCGTAAAATGTATCCGCGTATATACACATAGATCGTTGTCAAATATTTTCGAGTTTCTGTGAAATCATCCGAACAGATGTTGACGTCCACGGTCAAATTGTACTGCTGTGTTTGTTCGGCCATGAATTATTCACGAGATTGTTTTGCGTGGCTGCGGGTAATTGCGGGCGAAAATAGAAGGCTTGATCACGAATCGCGGCGAATTCTCGAGAAGCTAGGAAAAGGTGATTCTAGTCAGCCTGCTAATGTCATTGCGACGATACCTGTAACAAGATTATTTGCCTCTGTTGCCCAAGGTTTCGTGGACTTGTATCCTCTTAACCACGTCATTCATATTGAACGTTTTCACACGCACGGTACAATACAAATGGAAATATTCTTTTTTTTTTCCTTTCAATTTCAACGATTCGAACGAAGATTATTCGTATCGCAAAATTTATCGCGGCCGAATAATTTCTTTCTTTAGACGGTTATATTCGTGACTCATTTTACAGCTTTCTCTTTTAATGTTCGTGTCTTCTTTTTTCCCTTTAATACGATGTAATCATCGGTGTTCGTTGCGCAAAGGAAAGAGTGGAAATCTTTTGCAAACCGAAGTATGTAGAGTACTTTGCACTCGATCAATCGAATTTGTAATTCCTTTTTCTCTTTATTGCAATTTTTGTTCAAGGATTTTAATGAAACCACCATCCGGGCACTCTGTTTTTCAGTAAACGCCGCCCGTATGCATTTAAATGCACATATAAGTACATTTTATGCACTCGTGCACCGCGCGGCGAAATTGTGTCGCGAAAGTTGAAACGTCGCGGTCGGGGCAAACGTTTCCTAGTCGAACGAACAAAAGATTGCGGAAGTTCCTTTCGATCTGCATTTATGATTCGCGTTTCCGCTTGATATACATACAGGTTGGCGTAACTAGGTAGGGTCGAGGGTGGACTCCTCGCTATTCGAAAATCCTAAGGTTCTAGGGTTCAGAAATTCAAAAACTGCAATAATATCAATTAAGTATTTCTGTGGTGTCAAGTACTAGTGATCCCTAGAGTAGCTAACGTTATTACGATCGTCAGAATGAAAATAGTCATAGAGGTCACATTACTTTGTAATTTTTCAATTGAAGCTTTCAATTCGCTACCTGATCATCGTCACCTAGCAATTTTCTTATTTTTTTCAGCAGCGTCGATCGCTGATCTCTATAAACGCGAACACGATTAAGCTTAATTTGAATGTAAAATACTTGTCTCGATCCACTGACGCAAATGAGTTTTGCATTCGAATTACATATAATTGTTGAAATTGCGCTTAAACGACGCGCGTCGCGTCGTTGTTTAAAAACACTCTCGTTCGTAGCGTGACACGTGTATGCAAAAAGCGGCGGTGCTCTCGCGTTTCTGTTACGACGCTCGTTGATATGCAAACGATGTGCAAATTTCCGCCTTCTAAAACACGCTAAAAGGTCCCATCGCGTTCAAGCAATTTGCTCGCGGCACTCTTAAGCAGCGACTTCGAATAATACGCTTTCACGAGGTCATTGGAACGCTTTAGAATAAAATCTTCGCAAAGCTCCGTTAATTAGCATTTCGCTTTACTCGCGTCCGTGTGTCTTTCTTCATTTTTTTTCTCTCTCTCTTTTTTTCCATACCGTCTCACTGGAAGCTTTTAACGACCAAGTAAACGTTACTTCAAAGGCCGAAGATCTGGAATTCAGATGTTGCCATTGAGGTAACATATCCTCTGCGGTAGCTCGTCTATCGTACCACGTTCCATTAAATATTCAGTATTCGAAACTCGAGGGTGTTCAATTTATTAACATGTTCACCGTGTCGTCGAAACTATCTCCCTTTAAAGTTAGGTCAGTCACATTGTTTCCGAATCTCGTTACCATTGCTGAGCGAGCGATGAACAAAGCAAAGCGAGATAATGTACAGCGAACTGCATACTTCGAGCAGCGTTTCCTGTATTCCGCTCCGGCAAACTACAAGCTTATACGCGTGCAACGCAATTTTCTACAGCTTTTTTTCCCTCCCTCTTTGTTTCCTCGATTTTTTCGTAAATGCAATAACGCTGTACCTTCCTCCGTACCTATCCTCTCGGTCCGCAGTTGGCAGCGGTATGCTTTTCAGCTTCGGAACAAAAGCGTATCGCAGAAATGGGTTGAAAAAAAAAAAAAAAGATGTTCAATCGATACCGATTCGCGTTTCATCAACACAGCGGGGAACATTTTATAGGTTGCGAGCGATCGATTCACCCGAGCAAAGTTCACCGCTACATCTATTATTAAAGCTGGCCAGTAGCTCGATCGTCGATCCAGTTAAGTCAGTTCATTTTACGCTGTCGTACTACCAGTTGTAATCTACCATTCTCGCGATATGAAATCCTGTATACCGCGAATAGCGTTCACCATATCCTGCTGTGTTATCGTTAATTTAGATCCTACCGATTGTATTTTTCTCAAGTAATTATTCGGATGTGTATACAAGGCTTTTTAACGCGTCAACGCGTTAATTGAAAATTCCTCGAAGTCATCGTAAATTGCAATGACTATATTTTACAGGATTCGTTGTTCTTTCAATTGTAGGAGAGAAAAAAGGCGTTTCGTCTCGGGATCGTCTGTCAGACTCGTCAGTGGGACTGAACAGACGATACCCTGTCTCAGACACCTATCATACCGTAATTCGGAAGCACTATTTGAATTGCATGCCGGGCGACCGCTTGCGAGAACATTGTCACCAAACTCTCGCCGCCACCTAGCGGTCCTCGGCCCGAACTAAAGGCGTCCGGGGAGACGAAACCATCTCCCCCTTCATTAAACGCCTTCACAATTATCCTACTAACGCCTACACATTGTTAATTCGTCTTAAAGACACTTTTCCGACTAGTCGGTGTCTTAAACTCTATCTAATCGGTACTAATAGTCATCGAAGATGCGAAACTAGGACAAAACTCGACGTAGAACGAGACGGAGGTCGTAGCGATGAAAGTTCTCCAGGTTTCTGAACTTAATACCTCTTGACCAGTCTTCACGGTTATATTATTGATGGGTTTCGTTTCTCTGGAGAAACGGAGGACTTTGATCACGTATGCCATCGAGCCAGCTTACTTTCCACGAAAGATCTATCGCTTGCTTGAAACATCGAGATATTACATTATGTATTCCTTTCTATTCCTTGGGAACATTTTTGTTCCCGTGTATCTCCTTAGACCTAGTGAGCTGCGCGAGTTAAGTGCGGTCACTCGTCAACTGCAGTATAGTTAATTCGCAATGGGTATGTTGATTCCCGTTGAATATTGTTTACTTGAAATTATCAAATGGGTCATTTATCATAGGTTGCCGACGTCTGAGTTAGGATCTTCCTAGTAGAGAAAAAATTTTTAATTTTGCGCCGCCTCCGAAAACTTTGAAATGTATTTGATATCCTTTTTAACGATTAAGTAGATATTATTAATAGCTATGGAATATTGGTATAAATGAAATAGAAATTATTTTACATTTCGAAGTCGGATTTGTTTTTTGATTATAATATAGATACGTTGCCTTCTAATTTTCAGATGTTTGAAATAAAAGAATAGGTATTTTTTTTTTATCATTTTCATACAAGTGATTAGAGATTATATATGTATAATCTGATTTTTTTAAGTGTTGTTCCATCTATCGAATTTCTTAGTTACAACAGTTTCCTTATACCAGCGTGGTCATGTTTACTTACATAGTTAATCGGTGGGATATCGCGTGCACGAAATCGCTGGATCGTTAGTAAACTTTCGTCGCGAGTTTGTGCAGGGTTTAGCAGTCAAGTTGGTCGTGCGCCCTCGGAAGCTGCGGTGGAATAGCTGAAGTTACTTCGATTAATTCTCGTTTCTCTGTACGGTAGAGGAAGTTGATGAAGCGCCACCGGCATCAGTGTCTGCGTATTAAATGCTCATAAATCCGAAGCACCTGCTAACTAAATCTCTAGTTGCGAGTCGAGTTTCGAAGTTTCCAGCGGGTCGTAATGGGCGCGCGTTAAGTCGAACAAAAACTGGCACAAGTTCGTGCTTGGATTTCCCGTTATTTCGCGTAATAACAACTTTTTCGAATAATGTCCAATTAACTGAGTCAAGGTAACCGAGTCGGACCAACTTGCATCATCAGTTTCTTTTTCATCATATTTTCATATTTTAAACATTTCACCGTCAAATTAGTTTCGAATCATTATGATATGCAGTATCTTTTATAGCCATTTTCATTTGATGTTTACCTTAATATTATTATGCGATTTCATTCTCAAGTAGACATGTACTCTATGATCAAAACTACATAGGCTATTGTGCGTGATGTTGAAGCAACCATTTTGAAAAGTATGCTCTCTATTAATATTTTATGTTTTTTCTTTTAGGTAGAGAAACCTCATCGTTGAACCAAAGATTCTTGAAGAAGCAAGAAATTAAAGAAGAAGTTACCTTGAAGAATCCTTCTTACAAGAAACTTTCAAGCCATTCCACTTTTCTGGAAGAGCCAATAGCAAAGAAGAACCAACCCGTTCGAGGTAGAAATTTAAAAAAAGAAAAAAAAAAGAAAATGACCCATATGCTGCTTCAGGAACCCGGATGGAAGATCGAACGCAAAGGATCTGCACTCCTGTTGAGGAGGGACAGTTCTCATCCAAAAACGACTCGCGTTTGTTTCCGTTGCGACGTGGAAGTTCGCGAATTCGAGCGTGACGAGGATTACATGGTGGAGACGGAACCGGAAGCAGCTGCCAGCCCGCTGGCAATGTGTGCCAGTTGTTTGGCAGCACTCTGCGTGACCGTGATTCTACCTTGGTTGTTAATCGGCGGTTAAAGCGCCACCCGATGACTCGTCACGATCTTGGGGGGGATGTTGGGCGATTGTTACGGAAATCTTGCTACCGGAAGTCCGAAGAATCGTCGAACGGTGTTCCTCGACGGGTGGACTGAGAGATAAAGCTTTCGGAGGGTCATTCTGGTCTGTTGACGGATCAAACTTGACTATGGGGAGAAAGAAGGAGATCTAGACTTTAATATCTAAGGGTCGAAATGGATACACAGAGGTTCCTAAATCGTAGCTTGGTACAACGAGTATTAGCGACCTAAACATCCATCGATTGGCAAGAAAGAGGAAGAATAAATTTCTGGACCGAAGGGGATGAAGAGAGAAGAGAATTTTCAAGAGAACGATTGCCTTCGTCTACGAAAAAAGAAAACGTTACGACCGTGTCTTTATATCTATTCGCTGACCCGTGTAGTTTTCTTTCAATCGTTTCGTTCGACGTAGAAAATACATGTCCCGAGACAAAAAGCTGCCTCTGTTAGACTGGCTCTGCGGGTTCGAGTAGATTTCGTGAAAGTCGAGAGAAAACGTAACTCGTATATGTATAAGCGGCAGACTTTTCTGCCAGAACGAGAGACACATCAAAGGGAGGAGACACTGGGTCTGTATTTTGGCGTGCATTAAACCTTGCTAGTTTCACGACATCGACAGATCCTCTGTCAGTTTCACGAAACGGAGACGAAACTCTGCCAAACGAGGCCACTCGTCTCGCATCGTTCTTTTGCAAATATCGATACGCTGCAAGTCTGTGCAATCAGTCGTGCAATTCCATTTGATCAGTGAAATGTAATCCACGGTAACGAGATCGATCCAGCAGCTTCCCGTTCGCATTCTTTCCTACAATTAAGCCATTTTCGTAGCTCGCTGAGAAAAGTTGATTTTAAAATGCGAAATCAGCAGACGCGGGGAAGTTCCACGTCGTGGAAATCGACGAATCGACGAACTTTCGAAGAATTTCGACGACTGCCGACAGCGTTACACTTCGTAGCTACTTTTGTCGAAAGAGAAATACAGAACGAGATTAGTGGAAGAAATGTTCAGATTTTAAAGGTAAACATATGATACGATGAGAATCTGATTATAATAAAGTTGAATTTGTCTAGGTATTTTTTTTTTAAATATCTGAATATACAGTAGATGAGATAAAATAATTGGCACACCAAGTCTCATTATAGTAATTGTAATTAAGAATTAAAATGTTATTATAGTATATACTCTATATAAAATAGAACGTGTAACAAATAAAACTACAATATGATAACTGCTTGTAAAGTAAACCAAGGTGTGCCAATACTACGTATTCTGATTTCACTGTATTTCAATTAACCATACAAATTTCCCAACGAATTTAGTATCTCGTGAAAAGGTCTTCGATAAATCATCGGTGTGTACTCGTGCGGGAATTTTGCCAGGCAGAAATAGAGAGTGAAAGAGGTCTAAATATAAATTCAATGATTGATCGTATGTATGTAAAGACGGGTATATTCGAAGCGTATAAAGGTACGAACGTCTGTGGGATAACGTGTTAAACCTCTATTGAACGAACCCAATCGATCATTGTAAAATACTATTTGTTTATGTTTCTAATAAAACCCCAAACAAGCTATGAAATGTCATTGGTATATTTAGCCCTTGTTCTTCTGTGTCATCGCCAGTTATTCCATTTTTATTCCCAACAATACGTCGTATATCAAGTTTCTTTTTTTGTTAAGAAAAGACGAACGACGTTGCCAATAATATATTTTAATCTCACAACAGAACATACCGAACCGACGCACACCGATTTCAATGAAACTTATCTGAAAGATAGTTCTCAAGAAAATATTTGATACGTATTTTTTTATATCGGTCATCGTTCACATTAAAGGGGTGATAATAGCTCTCAAAGTGAAGGGTTGAGAAAATATTTTTGGAAATATCTCCGAAATTAAAGGAGATAATAGGAAGCTTTCTTTTCTTAATTATGGATCATTAAACAGGGAACTTTTTTGCATAAGAAAATTTTAATAAACATTATTCGTTAATTTATAATTTTTGTTTTATTTTTTTTTACTAAATGTTAATCTATTTTTTTGCAACTTTGTGTATATAAATTATGGACCAAAATAGAGAATACGTGTTTTTGAAATTTTTTGTTTTTTTGCAATTTAGCGATGATTATTAGATACATAATTAGAAATCACCTCCTGCGAAGAGGGGTAATCGGGCTTGGTTTGTTAAAAGTATCATCATTTTTACAATCTTTTACAACATTCTGAACGTTATAAACTTTTTTATATGCCATTAATTGTTTCCTCAGTAACTGGAGAAAGTACCGCAGGTATGAGTGTCACGCGGTTCTAATCACCGCTGTAAAGTATATGGGCTTTTATGGTCAATACCGCCTTTGTACTTTTACGGCCGTAAGACCTTCAGTCGAAATACAATATTTAGAACTTTTGGAACCTTCGAGATTTTTAAGCAATTGAAACTAGAGTTTTCCTCGTTGTAAGTTTATGATACTCAGCTCTGAAAACAGCTTATTGTATTATAAAATTCACGTTGCAAATATTTCCTTTCTGACAGAGAATAAGGTTACTGAAAATGATGGAAATCGTAATAATGACTATTGTACCCTTCACTTTGAGGACTATTATTACCCTTTCAATGCGAACGATGGTTGATATAAAAAAATACGTATCAAATATTTTCTTAAGAACTACCTTCCAGATAAGTTTCATTGAAATCAGTGTGTGTCGCATCCCCTGTCAGTTCGATCAATCATCTGATCCATTAGAATTTTAATCAATGTAGCAATAATTGTTATACAAGCTTTTATATTGAGATTTTTCTCTCTGTTGAAATAATGCTTTCATAATCTTCTAGTAATAACAACCGCGTTTCTTTGTTATTGCCTCGTGCGAACGTTTCGCTCCCTTCATCCGCGATTACAAGGGATATTTCCATCGAAATGTAACAACGAACCACGGGACAGAATGAAATCTCGAAAAATGCGGTCGCTCACATAAATTTCGCTCAATTGCACTCGCATTTCGACCGCGAGCCTCGATAAAACGTGCGAATTTAATTTCTCAGCTACCTCGGTCGCATAAATACACATTGTATCTGTCCCTTTTCCACGAATTTCCACCCCTCCTCTCTTTTTTTTATTTATTTCCGATCGAGGTAGGTTTCCTTGATTATTTATGTTCACCGATTTCCTGGGATGCGATGTCAGAATGACAAATGCTTTTCGAAAGTTGCAACCACGTCAGTGGTGGTAAAAGATGTTTCGTTGTTCTTATATTTGAGAGACAATCAATCTTATCTTTGAGCAATGAAACCGTAACTATGCGTTGAAGGAAATCATTACAGTAGGTTATAAATACATTTTTATCTTCTTAATACAAATAAAGGAATAAACGTAGATGTTAACAATTTCAAGCATGTGTTTGAATAAAAAGAAATTTTATTTCATTTATCTTTTTACATTATCAGCATTTCAGCTAATTAACGTTCACATTTTACATTCAAGAACAAAGAATGCATTGCTGCTATCTTTTACTTAGAGTTTAAAAATAAGGGAACAAACTTTTGTCTCAATACGTTCTATTGGTTTGATAAACTATTACAAAGATTTCATTATTTACTTAATGTACACAAGGTGGGCAAATATCCGCTTAAATTTGAATGTAATCGTTTGATCAGATTTCACTGATATCTTTCTTTATCTTTTTTTAATATAAGAAATCTTTAAAAACAAAGAGCCGGCTATTTGCAGCACTTTATTAAGCGAGTTGTATTTGATATTTATGTAAAAATTCAATTTTAATGCTTAGGGAAAGTTTTCGAAGAAAGATTAAAATACGTGTTTGAAATCTTAATAAAATTTTCGGACTCGCTGCAATTGAAAAAACGCTTCTCCTTTCGTTTATGTAATGTATGCCCCTAACAAGGTATAAAGTTATCGCATTTCAGCACGGACAAGGTTATTAAACATATTATTTAGCGTTAGTTATTTCCATGCCGAAGTGAATCATCGGTTTGGTCGGCGGTTAATCTGGATCGAGGTGAACCAGAAATCTGAACGCACGAAAGAATACGATATCGGTGATCAGTGTCCACGGATGTATCTGGATATTTAAGTAGACTTCCAATTGGTTTCGCGTAACGAAACTCATTTTTTTACGAGTATCGTGGCGAATTATTTTGGAATTGAAAAATAAGCGGCGCTTTTAGAATCGCAGGGGAATTCGTGAATTTCAAATAGGACGTTCAATGTCATTGAATTTGCATGGAACGTTATTGAGTAGCGATAGCCGTAAGATGGCTTATTCAAATGTATGCGGAAGTAAGTTTTCTCCGTTTGTTTTTTTATTTTTTCAGATTTCGCATTCACATTATACATATTTTGTCCGTTTGGTAGTAGTTACGTACGAGGAGATAATGAAGGTTAATTAGACGGTTTGACGCATCGAGCGTTAAATTAATACCGGCACGCTATCTGTAGTCGCCAGGAGAATATATTCAAACACGACGGCTGATTGTTACAAATTGGCTTCAATTTTCTTCAATTTGCGAGCTACGTAAAGGAGAAATAAAAAAGAATTCGTATACCGTGGGCGGCTTCTGTCGATCACGAAGATCTTTCGTGGGTAAAGTAGGTCCTCTGTTTCCGGTTTCTAGTTTGGGTGGCGCTGGTTTCGACGTTAGTTTCGGATTTGTCCATAGATGGCACGACGTCGCCTGTTCACGCGAATTCGAATTTGTTCCTTTCCGGTCGGTCGTGTGAATTTTTGCTCGTTATCGTGCTGTGATATTTGTTTAAATTAGTTAGTTATTTGTCAGTGTTATACAATGCGTTATTCCGCCTTGTCCTCGATAACACATAAGGTAACTGTTCTCTCTCGTTAGCTTCCCTTCAAGCTTAAATTTTTTGTAAAATCGAAATTCCTAGTTTGCGTTCAATTAGCCCTTTGCGAGGTTAGCCATTACCGAATGGGTGTTTAACGCAATTCAAACGTTTCTGTTTCAGTTGCCAGATCTGAACAACCTCGATGAAAAGGTGAGTGCTACCACAGAATTCCTGTTGCCCTATCGTTATTAATCACTGTATTGCTGTGGGTAAGTGAAATTTATATTTTCTACACCGTGATTTTCTCTGATAATTACTGGAAAGAATTTGGTATTTTCGTTTACGATTATTATCAATTTCTAATATCATCTTGAAACGTTCTCGTTCGTTTCGCATCGCGAGATATCGTCTGGAACGAAGTTGGTATCGTTCGTTAGACGGATTTCACGGTAGCTTAGAAATTCTAAGCAGAGTTAGAGAGCTACGTGCTTTGAATCGTGGATGAAGTGTTGTCGTGAATGGATTAAATTCTCCTGAAGGAGGTTATATAATCCCCGTGAAAAAGGATACACGCGAATCCAGTAAGAATATTTCGAGCTGGAAGCACGTGACTTTATAAACACCGTTAATGCCAGTAAACAAATTCAAAATCTCCCGCGTCTTTTAAGCTGCGTGCGCATGCTCCTGAATTTGTTTCTTGGATTATATCCGCGTGACAGAGTAAATAGCGATGAATCGAAAGTTATCGTGCTAATGAAACATCCAGTCGATAAATCGATAATGGATATTTAAATTTTATTGTTTTATGTAAATGGACGAAAGTATATTTTTTGCGTAGCAGCCACTTTAACGAGAGATTATTATACATTCAAGCGGACTCTTAATGTTCGAGAATTTTCTTTAAATTTTTAATCAAATAATCAAATTATGATGCTATCAATTTCTTATTTCGTCAATTTAATCATGTTTCATAATCTTATCAATGCATTGCACGAATAAGGAAGATATTGCATTGCAACCGTTCTAATTTAAACTTGCACAGATAGTTTCACTTACCAGATGAATTCAGTGCTTGTTTTGCTACCTACAAATTAGATTCATGAATGCAGTGTCTATCATCGTACTTCTCGCGTCGTTTATCACTTTTTATTTAACAATTTTTCGTGTCTTATACACCAATCGAAAACACGATAATTCTGGTGATCGGGAACTCGACAAGCGGTACCTTGTAATACATTTGAAGTCCAATTAAGGAGAATGAAACTTAATAATTGATCGCATGTATGATCGTAAACATATTCTTGTTAATTACAACGGTTGTCCTCCCAGTAATTGTACGAACTCTTGTTTTCGCGTTTACTACGACATCAACACCTGCCTTGCCTTTGGCCCGTTCATCAACATCGATAACCGCACCTGTTCATCCATTAATTCATTATAATCTCTCTTTAATACCAAATACGTGAAATATATTGACATCGTTCCGCGTGGAATTTTAAATTCAATTTAAAAAAAAAAGGAAAAATAATCAATGGAAATTTAATTTATATCGTAGGCGACTAAGTGTATGGTGATTTATTAGGTAACATTTAAACGCGACGACCACGTGTTTTCGCGAATCCGATTGTTTAATCCTCACGCGATTCCATCAGCAGCCGGTTTACTACTTATTTTAACAGGGTTGCGTAACGCAATTCCATACTGCTTTGCAATAATTGGTCGATTATCCAAGAAAACTAGTCGACGTGCAGGATGGATCGGGCTCGTAGGTGGAGTTACGCGGAAACGGATCATTAAGATAATCGATTGCGAAATTACGTGCGCTCCTTCGGCTCGCTTGACACGTGAGAAAAAAAAGAAAATAAAAAATTAAAAACGAACACGGTTTATTGTCCGAGGTGAGCATTTTTTAGTCGTTGCCCTTTGCCCGTTACATCACGGCTGCGTGTCGCCTCTTTTTCACCGTTCGAAATGCAGTTATAAGAGAAGAGCTGATTGCGCGAAATAATTGATCAGAGGAAGACCGTGTAATTGAATGTTTACGAGTAATTGAATGACTGGTATTGTAACCGTGTTTTATGAGAAAAATAACGATTTATTATTATGCGTATTGTTACGTGGTGGGGTCAGTGTACTTTCGCAGGATATTATCGAGCACGACTGCAATGTTACGTAGAAATTGAAATAGAATGAAAGACGAGTAGACAGTTAATTAATATGGTAATAAAGAATTTCGATATTTCGATAAGTAATCGATGAAAAACGCAAATGTTTGCGATTGGAACAGAAGACACGGGCATTTCATATCCATCGAAAAGATCATGAGTACGTGACTTCTATCACGAGAGCAATTAATATCGCGAATCAAATGACGTGTAAAAAATGTAAATGAATGTAAAAGCCATCTGTGTGTTTCTCGTCCACGTATAAAATTGATAATCTATTTTCCGATTGCCCTCGCGTTTCTATCCTTTCCCTCTTTACATTACATTTTGTTTTGGTCGAACGAATTCGTCGATCGAACGCATTATCCTAATGAAATAACACACGTATACGTATGCGGATTATCCTTTCTCTTAGATACGATTTCCATCGTGGTTTTATTGCTCGGAAAATATTGAACGTGACGTAAATAATTTCGGGGAATCATGCCGGAGCTGTTCTCTAGATACTAATTTCATGAACTTTTCTAATTATATTATTTTAGGGAATTCAACTCTCGTTATCTCCTTTATCGTGAAATATATAATTCCTGTTTTAATTTGAATTTCATGAAAAATAGAATTTCGATGATATTTAGTGCTCTGTTTCCTTCTTTCGTGTGTGTTTTAATTAATATAAATTGCAAGTGATCAATCTTCTGTTTTTCCTGAATTATTGCCAACGGAATAATAATTTTTTTTTTCGTTTCCTTATTCCCCGTCCATTATTCCATCTATTTGAAGCTGGTGGTTGCACGATTGCATCGATCATAAGTTTTCGCAGACGATTAATATTCCAGCGTGTACGTAGCTGCGTGCATTTACCTAGACCTGCTCAACACGCGTAATCGTGCTCGCCGCGTTACGCAATTCGGCTCGCGGAATAATTCTCTTCAATTTCACGACGACGTTGCTCATTATCTACTTGACTCGGTCATCGAACTCTCTACTCGTTTTCAACTCCGTTCTACCATTTCTTTCGCGTTCTAAATTTTCGATTACGTTTCTCATCGAAATTTTTATCTTCCCTTAGATTGTTCGAAAGATCCTTTGAAAAATATAATAATTTTCTCCGTTAATTTTCTACCACGAAAGTTTTGCTTTCAATTACTCCTCGACAGAGAATCATTGAATTTTCTGCAGGCGCGATTTCTAAATTTCAACAAGCTTCCTCGAAATCGGGTTATCTAATGGTTTTTGGCAGACGGCACGCGAAGATCGGTCGTTGAGCTCGGCAAAATTTACAAGGATGACGAAATTTATTCAAAAATTTAGCTTCTACCGATCTAGAACGAAACGGAGCACGTTCACACGCGTTGCAAATGTAAATATTAGCAGGACGCCAAGAGTAAACTGCAACGCGGACTGTTTCAACTAACCCATTTTATCCGAGGACAAAACAGACCTCGTAATTGTAGAATTTAAACATCGCACAAGTTTCGGGATATTAGATCATCCCTCGATTTCCTGCCGTTTTTCATGTCCGTCGTTATAAACAAAAATGTAATCGGCATCTGTTTCTACAACTGATTTCCATTTATTTATCAATGACATAAACGTCGCGTCATCGTTTTTCCTTATAATAATAAAGGAATCGACGAGTTTCAAAATAAACGCTAAAAAACTGTAGTGAAATGTTGAGTTGGAACACAGGTTCTTCAGGTTGAACGCGTTCTTGCGTAATTTCTATTCAATATCCGAGCTTCTGAGATGGCTGGTAGACGGTTAGCAGGCGCGTTAGCATAAGAGCGCGACCGGCTGTGCGCAAAACCGGCCGTAGGTAGGTGCCTTTAGAGGTTAAGAAAATATCTGTGTCACTAGCTGCGATCGGTCGACCGGTTGCCAGATACACGATGTAAACAGGATGGAATTTGCATGCATATTCAAGCGGCCGGAGCCTGCACGAGAGCATCGAGGTCGCGCTTCGTTCGTACGCTAGCGCGCACGGTTACACCAAGGTCCGAGAGTAAAAGCGGATTTTCGGTGAAAGTACCCAATGCTTGCTTCGAGAACGGGTCGAGAAGATAGTTGGAGGAAGAGAGTCTCTTCGTTTCTGTTCAAATCTTCGCGGTACAATTGTGTGATTCCTAAGTACAAGATTTATCGAATATGAAATTTGAAAATTTTATTTAAAAATTTGAGTCTCCACCTATTGAAAGATTAAAAATTTTCCTCGAAATTTTCTTTCTTCGAGTACGTACTCGTATTCGATTATGTTAGACTCGTGGCGCCGGTCATCGATGACCCGTACGACGGCGAACGTGTTAAGAAGGCGCGAATTTAGCCAATGTCTGCACGCCTCGCTTTCGCGCATTGTGTGCAAATTCGCAGCGGCGCGGCGCGTTCGCGAATCGCCAATTACGCTCGCGATCTAACGATCGGCACAAACATCTCCTCGCACACGTAACGACGAGTGTAACACACGTGAACGCGTACCCGCCGTATATGGTCGCTCTTGGTAAGCAACAGTGGTTGCCAAATCGTGGCTGCTATTAATAAAATAGATAATCATTTGCGTAACGAACATGCTATAGAATCATCGCGACTGTCCTCGACCTCTTCGTCTTTGCTAATTTGCATCTTATCTTACAAATTTTCTTCAAACTTGAAGTGATCTTTTCAATTAATCCAACACCCAGGCGCTTATAGAAGGAGCGAATGTATTAACACGTTGACTGCCGCAGCGAAAATGGGCATTTGTTACGAGACGTATTAAAGCTCTAATTATTAAGAATAGGAATAATTAATTTTCAAATTTCAAATGTCAAGCTTTTAATTTGATACTTTACATTATTAGTATAATAATAATTCTACTGAAAATAATATTTTTCTATGTAATTTGCGATGCCGGTCACCGGTGACCCCCACGGCAGTCAACGTGTTAAGCGTCTATAGACGTCGGTAGCAACGAAAGAGTTAAAGCATCTCTGTTGCAACAACTTTCCGATCGGATTGCTTGCAAAATGTGTCGAACAGGAAAATCATTATGAGGAAAGTGAAAATGGAAGG